GTGGGGGGGGGGGGGGGGGGGGTTTTAACAAATTATTTATGGATTTTTCCGCACCCACTGTACACGGTTTGGAAATGTAAATTTGTTAGGTTTTTCAACAAATGACCGCTACGTTTCGTTGAACATAGAATTATGGGATCATTTATGAGTTTGTTGAGAAGTTGTGAAATGGGATTAGTTTGTATTTTAATATGTCTTTATTTTAGTCAGTTTGGTTATTTTCCCTTGTTGCAAAGTTGGAGCGAGCTACATTTAGATGTGGAATCTCTGGAGAATTTTAGTTGTTTGGTTTGCCGTGTTCCTTGCAATATGTTCGGCATTTGCATGTTGTTGGTAAATTGTAAGTAATGAGCTTGCAATATCTTCTGAAGGAGACTTTGCGTTTGTCACATTCTTGTTGGTTCATCTTTTACTCTTCTTTAAAGAGTCGTTCATCTGAGGCGTTTCCTTGTTTGGTTTTTTAACTTGGCAATTTACATCAACATCAATGTACATTGCCTTTGCGTGCTGTTGGTAGATTGTAAGTAGCAAGCTTGCAATATCTTCAACCTCTACCTTTTGCACTATGAATCTCATTTGTATATGAGTCCATCTCATTTTATGTCCAATTGTTAGTGTTCGATTAATTTTTTTGTAATTGACTTAAAAATGGTGTAATGTAATAACCTGGTAGTTATATTTATTGCTATTTCCTGGAACCAACATATTACTGATCATTGTGTTAAGGATCATATGTATACTAACTTAGATACATGTGGTTGTTTCCCATGTAGGGATGAGTGGCAGGAATTATGGTGTTTGTTATAGCTGTAAAAGCACATATTACCTCTTTGAAGAATTCAATAGAAACCTTCGTTGTCCATGGTGCGTAGATAGAATCCAGAAATGTTTTGAGGTTTAAAGGAGGACAATAACAAAGGACGGCTATTCAAAGCTTGCAGTATTGACTGCAGATTTTTTGATTGGGTAAAAAAAAGAAGAAGCAATTGGTGAGTCGAGTACCATTGACGAAACAATGAATCATACTGCCAAAAAGGAAGTTGACAGCCAAGCATGTTCAAAAATCTAGCTCGAATAACTGAGAAACGAAACCTTGAGATTTCGTTAGATGTGACATTTCGTAAGGGTAAAGAGCCCTCAGACATAATGGAAAAGGAAGGGCTCGCAAGATGAGTAGTTATATTC